TCATGGTTCAGCAACTGCTTGAAAATAAATTATAGTATCAGAATTTTCAATGCTGACACAGAATCACAAAAGGGATTACATCAGACTGACAAAATTGATGTTGTACTGCCGAAACATTTGTTTGCTTCTGTCCAATTGTCTGGTGGTGTACATGTGTATCAGCTCTGTTGAGAGACAGTTTCTAGCTAACAATACGTGTTATGTCACAGATGAGAGTTGCATATATTTATCTGAACTCCATTTCTTAAATTCATTAAATATTCCTAAAATAGACTTTACAGTCTTAATGGCTTATTGGACTAAAATGGCTATGGACTGAGCAGATGTTTTAAGCATGCTTCTTCTATCACATTCCTTTTTGTAGGAAATGGACTTTTCACTGTCGTCTCTAAAAGCTTTGGTATAAACATTTAAAGAATTGCAAAACCTTTTTTCAAGACTTCAGACATGCTTTGTATCCTATCTTTCCAAGATAGACCACTAGATAGGTAGATAGACCACTCGTGAAATAAAACTTTAAAAAAAGAAATTAAAATCAAAATGGACATCTGACTTATTTCTGACTGTAGTTTGATATTTTACATTCATGTACCTGTATATTTGTCACAAACTCTTCTTTTCTAGTTAGAAATCTTGGAAATTCAGTTCTATTCAAAAGCTCTTCAGATATAAGTAAATTTTGCATTTTGTATAAGTTCAATGGAACTGCATTTTCAAACTCGACATTTTTAAATAGAAACAGCATGCAAGCTTGTTGATTGACACAAATTCTCATGCAGGTAAAAATCTTAAAAATTCAGTTTTTATACGACCGCAAAAATTAAAAATTTTTTGGTCGTATATTGGTATGAAGTTGTCGTCGTCGTCCGAAGACACATTGGTTTTCACACTCTAACTTTAGTTTAAGTGAATGGATCTCTATGAAATTTTACCATAAGGTTCAATACCACAAAAGAAAGGTTGGGATTAATTTTGGGGGTTATGGTACCAACAGTTAAGGAATTAGGGGCCAAAAATAAGCATTTTTGTAACTTCCAGAAATAAATTGTGTGTTAGTGTATGGATCTCTCTGACATTGTACCACAAGGTTCCATATCACAAAGGGAATGCTGGGATTGATTTTGGGGGTAATTGCCTCAAAATTTTAGGAATTAGGGTAAAAAAAAGGGGCAAAAAACAAGCATTTTTATATGGACAAATACTTTAGTACAAAACATAATTTAAAGCAGTGTAAGGGAGATAAATCAAATACATCATTTAAATTACCTCCCTTACACTGCTTTTAAATTATGTATAAAGTAATGGTTAATGAACAATTAAGACAATTTAAAACAGTGAATGGGAGGTAATCCACATACAACGTTTTGATTACTTCCCTTACACTGCTTTTAAATTATGTTTATAGAAATGCATATTTATAAAGGAAGACCAGTAAAAATATCTGCAAATGTTGCATCTTTTTTTTTTTTACAAAAAAATCCATATGAAAGATTTGACACCATATTTTAAATTCTATTATAAAATAGATTAAGTGAGCACTACGGTAAATTTAAATGGGTAATTATGGTTGCAAATTCCATTGGAAATTTGAATTGAGATTATGACCATATCTTGAGGGAAAGAATTTTTTGGGGGAAAAAGGGGGGGGGGGGGGTAAAAAGAAATTGTGGGGGTCAATTTTTTCTCATTTCAGATTTCAGAAATTAAGAATTATTCTTCAAATATTATTTTTTTTTCAAATTTCACATATTGAAAAATTTCAAGAAGTAATCTTTAAGGTAGATGGGGTGTCTAAATTATAATCCATAGAATTTTTTAATAATTTGCCAAAATGTAGTTTATATCATGCTTTTTAAAAAAAAATAATAAAAAGAATGGGTCACGGGGCTTATTTTCACGCTACAGATTGTGCAAAATTGACAGATTTTGTATAGATTATGCATGGAAAAACCAATTTTCTGCCATAAAACGAAAACTACACCATAGAATTTTGAGATAAAATATGAGAAGATAGCTCTACTAGTATGCTTTCAGATAAGAAAAAGAAAAAATGGGGTCACGGGACCCGTTTTCTTGCTACATAATAAAATAGGTAAATTCCTAACACATTCTATTGTAAATGTAACTTTATCTGAATTATCTGCCCTTACATTTGAGTTGCCTCCCCTTATGTGGCAAAGTTGGAAAAAATAGAATCAAACAAAAGTATTCTTTTTTTTATAAAATACAACCATAAATATGATAAAATAGATCATTTTCTATATTGAAATGAAAATTCTTACACATGAATTACCTACTACTCTCAAAATTTGCACCTTTTATTAAAGATCTAGACCGATTGTTTTCTGGTATTTCAAAATCCAAGATGGAGGAAGACACCCTATCTACCTTAATTGCACAGTATGGCGCATTAGATTTGTAAAATCTTTGACCACATTTATTTATTTGTTATGCCAAATCTGACCGTGTATTTAGATTTTTAATTTTGGGTCCAGTTTTCAAATTGGTCTACATTAAGGTCCAAAGGGTCCAAAATTAAACTTAGTTTGATTTCAACAAAAATTGAATATATGGGGTTCTTTGATACGCTGAATCTAAACATGTATTAAGATTTTTGATTTCGGGCCCAGTTTTCAAGTTTGTCCAAATTGGGGTCCAAAATTAAACTTTGTTTGATTTCAACAAAAATTGAATATATGGGGTTCTTTGATATGCTGAATCTAACCATGTATTTAGATTTTTTATTTGTGGGCCCCGCTATCAAATTGGTTCATATTGAGGTCAAAAGGGTCCAAAATTAAACTTTGTTTTATTTCATCAAAAATTGCATTATTGGGGTTCTTTGATATGCCAAATCTAACCGTGTATTTAGATTTTTATACGCCTGTTTACGGGACGTATTATGGTATACCTCTGTCCGTCCGTCCGTCGTCAACATGTCGGACATTAACTCAAAAACGCTTTAACCAATTTGCATAAAATTTTGGTGAATTGTTAATATCTATTGACGTGAGCTCCCTTTCGTTTTTTATAAATTTTAGATTTTACGTTTCCGAGTTATGTGGTTTTATTCATTAAAAAAAGGGGGGTTTTCCAGTTTTCGGACAATAACTCAAGAATGCTTTCACCAACTTGCAAGACATTTTGGTTAATTGTTTATATCTATTGACATGAGCTCCCTTTTGATTTTTATAAATTTTAGATTTTACGTTTCCAAGTTATGGGGTTTTATTCATAAAAAAAAGGGGGATTTTCCAGTTTTCGGATAATAACTCAAAAATGCTTTCAGCAGTTCTCATGAAACTTTGATGAATTGTTGATATCTATTGATGTAAGTTCCCTTTAGAATTTTATGAATTTTAGATTTTACATTTCCGAGTTATGGGGTTTTATTCATTAAAAAAGGGGGATTTTCCAGTTTTTAGACAATAACTCAAAAATGCTTTCAGCAATTCTCATAAAACTTTGGTGAATTATTTATAGCTATTGATGTAATCTCCCTATTGATTTTCATAAATTTCAAATATGACATTGAGAAGAAATTGAACTTTATTTGTTTATAGTCTGACAACAGATTTACTAAGTATTGCGCAACAGCATAGTGTATTGCACAACAGCAAGAAATCTTTAATTGAATATAAATTCAATTCATATAACTAATTTCAAATTCTTTGACTACATTTATTCAGAAACCTATAATATGTCAAATATTTAATTACAATCCAAATTCAGACCTGTATCAAGCTTGAATATTGTGTCCATTTTTGCCCCAACTGTTCAGGGTTGGACCTCTGCGGGCGTATCCAGCTGCGCTCAGCGAAGCAGTTTATTAATTTTGGGTCCTGTTTTTTAAATTGATCTACATTAAGGTCCAAAGTGTCCAAAATTAAACTTAGTTTGATTTTAACAAAAATTGAATTCTAGGGGTTCTTTGATATGCTGAATCTAAACATGTGTTTAAATTTTTGATTATGGGCCCAGTTTTCAAGTTGGTCCAAGTTGGGGTCCAAAATTAAACTGTTTGATTTCAACAAAAATTGAATATATGGGGTTCTTTGATATGCTGAATCTAACCATGTATTTTGATTTTTGGGCCCCGTTATCAAATTGGTCCACATTGAGGTCAAAAGGGTCCAAAATTAAACTTTGTTTGATTTCATCAAAAATTGAATTCTTTGGATTCTTTGATATGCTGAATCTAACCATGTATTTAGATTTTGGATATTGGACCATAATAGGTAAATTAAAAAATTTTAAGTTCTTAGACCACATTCATTCTGTGTCAGAAACCTATACTGTGTCAAATATTTAATCACAATCCAAATTCAGAGCTGTATCAAACTTGAATGTTGTGTCCATACTTGCCCCAACTGTTCAGGGTTCAACCTCTGCGGTCGTATCAAGCTGCGCCCAGCCGAGCATTTTATTTTGTAGTTATCCTGATATCTTATCCATGGTTAAAACTTTCAGAGATCAATAACTTCATAGATATTTGAAACTTCAACAGAAGCTTCTTCATGTTAAAACAAACATTATCAAGAGCAAATTTTTGAAACTAATTCTTAATTTTTCTGTATTTTACTGATAAATGGACTTCAATTTTTTTGCAGTTATCATTTAGATGCAGTCTTATATATAAGATTTAAGTTTTTCAGACATCAATAACTCAGTTAATGTTTCATGGAATAATACGATACTTGGACAGAAACTTCTTCATGATCAAGAAATCACATCTAAAGAACAATGTCATATCCAAGTTTTCTGGTGTGACAATAAATTTACACAGTGTTTGGAGTATGAAAATCCAATAACTAGATGCATGACTCAAAAATAAATTCATGTTTACTTGAAACTTGATGCTATAATACTAGTATTGTTGCAGTTGGTTAAAGATCATAAAAAAGTTACCAAATAGGTTAAATTTTTCAGACTTGAATACATTAATAAAGTTTTCTTTGGGATGACTTTTCTTACATGACTGCACATCTAAAAACTGTAGAAGTTAATACTGTTTAAGACTGGACCTATTATGAGGATTTTTTTCAGACATTGGTATTGATTTTGAAGTGTTTAAATTTTAATAGACCATTAAAAGAAAATTCTGATAATTGTGTGCATAGTTTGGGAGCACAAAAATTGATTATCTCATTTAAATTCAATATTTCTGCTAGAATCATGTGATGAAAGAGAATAGTGAATCAATTATTGGTTGCTGATAGAAACAGGCTGTCTTATATCTCTGGTGTTTATTTACAGTATTTGTGATAAATTTACATATATAGATTTATTGTTGCGAGTTTGTTAATGAGTTAACACTAATTAGCAGTTATTGTTATGTACATGTATTGGAGTAGTAAACATGTGATAGACTTCCAATATTTTTTTAACTGATGTGAATTATACCAGAATTATTGAACTTGGGTTGACAGTGGATGTTTGATTGATTGGATTTGGTAACAAATGAGGGAAGAAGGGCTTTTACAGGTACACGTTTGTCATTACTATATTAGGATTATTAAGCATAAATCAATAAACCTCACAATTTAACAATACACATACCATGAATTTCAGTAGTAAGAGTAAGACATTCTGACAGGTTTAATGATGTCATATTTTCAAAATAGACAGAAAAAAGGAAATGTCAAATGTCTATAATGAATTATACTAAATATCTTTTATAAAGTAGCAGAGAAAAACTATTTCAAGTCTCTACAATTCCTTTCTTTTTTTTTGTTTGGGTTGGTGGGATTTGAATGCTGGAGAAATCATGCCAAAAATAAAGCTGTTATGTTTTGTATACTGTTGTTTGTCCTTTGGTCTTTTTACTTTGCCATGGCGACGTTACTTTATTTTTGATTTATGAGATTGAATGTCCCTTTGGTATCTTTCATCTCTCTTTTACTTGTCATTAACTACATCTAAATAAAAAATATGATGTATGAGACATTTTTATAAAACTCAGATTTGTTTAGGTCTATATATGTTATTTTGTGAAAAAATATTGCATTTTAAATAATTCTATAACATTTTGTATTTTAAATTTATTTTTTAAAACCTGGCTGTGTATCAAATAATTTTCACATTAATATGCTAATCAGTGATATTTTTTTATTAAATGCTTCCATGCGAATCTTGTCAGTTTTTAGATGTGATATTTTAAGGAGCTTTATAGTTTTCACTTTGTCCATCCGTCTGTATGTCGTCAATAATTTTTGTAAAAGCAAAATCTTCACAAGTATAGGCAGGAGGCCAATGAAATTTGCACAGTTGTTGTGCATTATATGTAGATGTGCATAGTATATTTTGGTGAAATTTGGCTCTTTAATTTTGAATGAAAACTTTGTTTTTGTTAAAAAATCACAAATTTTGAGAACACAAAAACTCCAAAAGTATAGGTAGGAGGCCAATGAAAATTGCACTGTTGTTGTGCAGAGTATGCAGATGTGCATATTATATTTTGGTGAAATTCAGCTCTTTAATTTTGGATAAAAACTTTGTCTTTGTTAAAAAATCACAAATTTTGAGAACACAAAAACTCCAAAAGTATAGGTAGGAGGCCAATGAAATATGAACTGTTGTTGTGCAGAATATGCAGATGTGCATATTATTATTGTATTTTGGTGAAATTCGGCTCTTTAATTTTGGATAAAAACTTTGTTTTTTGTTAAGAAATCACAGATTTTGAGAAATGTCTTCATATTAAAAAATGTTAACAAAAACTGATTTATAGGTGTATAAAGGTTATTGACAAATTAATAATAAAATCGTAAATCTTACTACCGGTATTTGTTAAGAAAAATCACAAATTTTGATAAGAAGCTTGTTGTAGGATGTCATCTAATACATGATATAGGCATAAAATGCATCCAAATTGTTTTCTCAGGTCAAAATTGTGTTAAAAACTTCTGAGAATTATATTTTTAGCTAGGATTTAAATATAAAAGGTATCATTTACTATTGCAAAATGATTCTCTGTGTCAAAATCATTGTCAAAATTATTGGATGCCCACATTTACGAAAATGCCAACCTAAATACATAGTGCTTGGATTTTAACAAAACATATATTAATTGAGAACACATCCTGAATTAATTGCTGGTATCAAATTTTATGAATATTGACAAGCTATGAACATTTGCTTTGTATGCATAGTCTCTTTGCATCACATAAAAATTTGCAAGCAGGGCTCTTGCTGACAAGTCAGTTTTCTAGTTCTGCATGTAAGTGCTAAAAAAAGACCAAGATTTACAAGACAAATTTAGTAGGCATGTAGTAGGTGGATTTCAGTGATAAGGAACTTTGAGTTTGAGTGAGTTTGACTGTATTCAATATTCAATATATGGAAACCATGCATATGATCATGATTAGTACATCTCTGTATACCATCTGACTTGTCATAGTGATTTCCAACATTAAAGATAAATGTTGTTACATTAATAAATAGTATAAAAGAAGTTGCAATTGTTTTTTTTGGCTGATAATCTATTTTTAGATGTGAATTGTTAAAACTTTTTTTTAGCGTATTAGATATATATACAGAATTCACTTTAAGAAATTAGTATCTAATGAAAACTCTGTGGCACAAAGGTAATTGGAAATTTAATAATTTATTGATAACATATTTAGTTAATTAACATTTCATTTATAGAAGTGTAATAACCTTCTGACCTGTATGACAGATGGTTGCAACAGGTGTTAATTAGTTTCTGTTGTGACAGGTGATTCAATATAGGTAAAGAAAGGTGTGATTTGGACCAGTGAAAAATTTCAGATTAAAAGAGATTTGATTATTTGAATGGACATATAACAGAAAGGTATGAGGTTCAGATGATATTGAGAATGGATGAATATTAATATGTGATAAAATAGTTATTTATATGTAGTGTGTTTTGTAGATTCATATTTTGGACACACACAGTTATAGTATCATGGTTCTGTTTATTGAAGCTTTATGACGACTATGAGAAAGATGATCTCTACTTGATATTACTGTGATTGTTGAAATTGCAGCTTTCACATATTCTGTATGTTAAAAAAAAGTGGATTGTTTCCACTAAAGAAGAAGGTATAATGTGATTGTTGAAATTGCAACTTTCGCAAATATTATGTATGTTAAAAAAAGGTACAAAATTTCTCCTGAAAGAAGAAGGCATAATTAGGCCCCTTTTTTCAGGCCCTCAAATTCAGAAATCAAAAGGTATTATACATCTTTCAAATCCTTTAGATGTAAAAATACAAGACAGTTTAATATAAGTATTTTTATGCCCCCGCCGTAGCGGTGAGGGCATTAAGTTTTACCCTTGTCCGTCTGTACGTACATCCCAAAATTGGTTTCCGTTCTCTTACTTGAGTTTGCCTCAACCAAATGTTAATAAACTTATACACAATGCTTATTACCACAAAACACAGATCAAGTTTGAATTTTTGTCCAGTGTTTAAAAATTGCATAAATAAAATGGATGCCAAAAAATTTTGAATTTACAATGGTTAGGACTAAAAAAATACTGTGGATGAAATCATATATATATATATATATATATATATATATATATATTGTTACATTTAGAAGGTTTTGTTTATAACAATTACAGCTGTCTACAATATTTGATGCATGGTCTTCTTAAGAATTAATGGTTGAAAAAGTGTAACGTGTAATCTGGGACTATTATATAATAATAGTCCCAGGTGCAACAAATGCATTTTTCTGTTAATTTTTGAATAGATATTAAAGTGTACAAATATTCTGTTCTGTGGTAAAACATGTATTTCAAAATATATATGGTCCCTCTATATATAATATGAGCTGGGTCAGGTAGAAATCGACCTTATGCAAATGAATACCAATACGTCATCTGTTTACCTATTTCAGGGTTGAAAAAATCCCTATGCAAAGTCTGTAGCTGTTTAAAAATTGAGCTGATATAAGAACCCTTCAACAGACCTAAATGCATTTTTATGCCCCTGCCGTAGCGGTGGGGGCATTAAGTTTTACCCTTGTCCTTCTGTATGTACGTACGTCCCAAAATTGGTTTCTGTTCTCTAACTTGAATTTGCCTCAACCAAATGTTAATAAACTTATACACAATGCTTATTACCACAAAACACAGATCAAGTTTGAATTTTGGTGGCGTCACTCTAACCGTTCTAGAGTTATGCCCTTTATAAATGGAAAAATTGCTAAATTTTTAGTTTCCGTTCTCTAACTTAAGTTTGCCTCAACCAAATGTTATGAAACTTATACACAATGCTTATTACCACAAAACACAGATCAAGTTTGAATTTTGGTGGCGTCACTTTAACTGTTCTAGAGTTATGCACTTTTATAAATGGAAAAATTGCAAAATTTTTATTTTCTTCTAAATATCAAGTAATTTTTAAAATTGGAGTTATCTTCCTTTGTCCATGATTAATTAAGATCAAGTTGAATTTGGGTAGTGTCACTTTAACCATTATTGAGTTATGCCCCTTTATAAATCGAAAGATTGCAAAATTTTTAGTTTCCATTCTGTAACTTAAGTTTGCCCCAACCAAACATTATGAAACCTATACACAATATTCATTACCACAAAACTAAGATCAAGTACAAATTTTTTTGTTTCCATTATTAGCTTTAGTTCGCCTCAACCAAATGTTATGAAACTTATACACAATGCTAATTACTACATAATACAGATTAAGTACGAAATTTGGTGGCGACACTTTTACCATTCTTGAGTTATGTCCCTTTATAAACATAAAAAATGCTGAATTTTTTCGTTTCCTTTCTCTAACTTTAGTTTGTCTCAACCAAATGTTATAAAACTTATACACAACCGTTCTAGAGTTATGCGTGTTTACAAATAGAAAAATTGATGAATTTTTAGTTTCTGTTCTCTACTAAATTAGCCTCAACCAAATGTTATGAGACTTACACACAATGCTTATTACCACAAAACTCAGATCAAGTTCAAATTTGGGTAGCGTCACTTTTACCGTTCTTCAGTTATGTCCCTTTATAACTATATGATATGCAAGCGGGGGCATCATCTGTGTCCACATGTGGACACTATCCACATTTATTTATTTTGTATTTGAATGTTCCAAAATCAAAGTCATACACATGTACAGGTATATATGTGCATTTGCATTAGGTCAATTTCTATCAGACTCAGCTCATATGTTTAACACTATTCATAAAATTCTTATTTCTAAACTTGGTGCAAAATTTGTGACTGATGCTTATTTTAGAAGCACGTTGTTCATGTGCATTTTTACTATTGTATAATCTAACAACAGGAGTGTTGAACATCCTACATAACAACTTTACGCTCTTAGTCTGACAGGTATATTTTGATGGTGCAATGTATGTGACTTTCAACTTACTTAATGTGCAAAAGTTCTTAAGTTTTTTTAAATGTATACAAGTGTAACAATGGTCAGGATCAATTTCACTTGTTCCTTCAGACAATCTAACGTTAGCATTTGCTTGTCAGAACCTAATTTTTC